AATAGTAAAGAAAATTAAAGCACATATAAACAACAATGAAAATAAAAGAGTAAGGATAGAGAAATCAAATATAAATATTTATAGAGGTTTCGTCCTTCTTCAAATACACTTATGTCCTCTCTCTTAGCTCTTCAACCTAAGCTCAATCCACTAATTGAGAAATCTCTTACAATATATAATCTCTATCTTTTAAACGTTAAGTAATAGCCTTTATCTTTTTGTAGGATTCTACCCAATCTCACTACAAAACTATCAAGAAGATACCCACCTCTTGACTTACTAAGTTTCTTTTGAATACAAAGGCTTTTGCAAACTAGTAAAAACATCTAATAGGTAAGTGTTTGCTAATGTTAAGTACAAAGATGAAAAGATAAATATGATTTGGATGCAACAAATATAAATGATATAGAACTGCAGCACTATTAACTCTAAAGCTCTTAATTTCTCGAGAGAATGAATATAAGAATTGTTATTGCGTGCTCTCTTGCTTTATAAGTGTGTTGGAATGCCTGATTTATAGAATAAATGAGTTTGTACTCGTTGGGAATTGACTGGATAAGAAAATGCCTATTGTTCTTTTGAAAAAACTAACTGTTTGGGCAAAAATCAATTAACCCATTTTTAAAGGAGATTGATCCATTTTGTAACCCGATCGATCCATTTTGCTAGGGGATAGATCTTTTTTGCAAGATCTAAAATCTCGTGGCTTTTTGTATAAAAAATTGATCAATCTTTTTTCATAAGAGATCAATTCATTTTTGCATTTGTGAAGTTTAAGACAATTTTGTATAAAAAATCAATTGATCCATTTTTAAAAGAGATCCATCCATTTCTTGAAAACCCATCGATCTTTTTTCAAAGAGGATTGATCCATTTTTTATTTTCACCAAAACTTCTTGTTTTTGTATAATGGGGATCGATCCTATTCATAAGGGGATTGATCTTTCTTTCCCAAATTTGTATAAAACATGTTTTCAACGAGAAAATAAGTTTGTTTTTGGTTTTAAATCATTTTTTATTCAAAAATTGCTAGCAAAATTTTCTTTTCAGTTTAAAGTAATTTTCTAAGATATTTTTCAAATCAAATATCACTTTGAAAAACATATTATTTATTTAATATAAAAAATAATAAAACTTAAGAACATGTACTAAATAAATCTTTTTCAAAATCTTAATTAAACTTATTTAGCTTAATGTTTTATCATTTCAAAATAAGGATTAATTTAAGGCTAAGATATATAATATCTACATTTAGCCCTTTTATTCTATCTACAACTTCCTTTCACTTTTGAGGATCATTAAATCCTCTAGTATTCCAGAATAATATATCTCATGAAGAAGGTTGACTACTTGAGGCTGCAGTACTTGCCATAACCTATTTCTTTCCTTTATCAATAAACCTTTTCTTCTTAAAAGCTCTCATCAAATCTACTACTTATGTTACTACTATCATTGCCCTCTACTTCTTTGGCAAAGAAGGAATCAAGTCTTATATCTCCTAATCCTTTACTTTATGTTCTACCCAATCTGGATTTACAACAATTTCTAGAATGGCAAATCTATTTAGTGATCCAGCTTTAGTAATAGGGCGCTTAGCCTAACTTCTAACACTAGTTAGTTGTACTTTCTTTATAGTTTTTATTTTATTACCTCTTGTACAAGGGCACTAATCTTGTCCTCTCTCTCCTTAGGTACCTATACTTTTCCAGCTTCCTTAACAAGTTTCTGTGAACAATATTTATTAGCATGTCTAAAAATGCAACATTAATGACACTTTCAGAGATGGATGCACAATGGAGGTAGTTGTGGCAATTGCCTTTATTAAGCTTCTTATGCTCCTTAAAAATATACTATAAAAATACTAAAAAATTTTTAAACCCTTTTATAATGCCTTCACTGAAAACAAAAATAAAATATATAGTATATGTAAAAGTCAAAAACTATATTAATTAGAAATAAATGATAAATATTTGAAAAGAAAAAAGATTTCAAGTTTATTATTAAAAAAACAAGTGAAATGATTGTTAACTCTTATTTTCCTTTACTCACCCTACTTGCAGCTTTCACTTTTTCAAACCAAGAAGTTAAAAATAATTTTTAATAGAAAGAAGAAACTAAAGAAGTAAAAAGAGGGAAAAAAAAAGCCATTAAACTAAAGAAACAAATTAAAAATTTGATTATTTTCTTCTTCCAACAAGATATTTAAGTAAATTTTTTATATTTTTATAATTTATTAATCAGTTAATGTGATAGAGTATTTATTTACTATTTGAAATTTGTTATATTGATGAAATAATTTGATTATGTCATTGACAACATGTATATTTTTTTATCTTGTTTGAGTTTTTTGTGTTTTATATTTTTCTTTATTTTTTAGTTATTACTTATTTGACTAAATTACCTTTAAGTTTGGCAAAGATTAATTTTTATATAGAGATTATAAACTTAGTTAGAAGTTCTATCCAATTTCTTGCATGGCAATATGTTTACAATATGTGAATTGCATTTCTACTTCTATATTTCAAATGTAGGGTAGGTTGATCTTCATTATCATGCGTAATTGTATTTTGAATATATCTTCTCATTCTTTATAAATTACATAAATTAAACTATTTAATTTAATTAGTAATAAAGAAATATCTTATTAAAAGAAAGTCAATTTTTGAAGAATCATCTAAAATCAATACCAGTGGCACACAATATTGTACAAAGCAAGTTCATGTTGAATTAAATTAAGATGATCTTCCTTCGAATCCTAGGTTGTGAAAAAAACTTTGGACTATAATGCTAATGTTATAAACAAAGTTCGAAGAGCTTATTTGCAAAAAGGTCCATGTTAACCTTATGAGCATAATTTTCCCCAAAGAAAAATTGGAAAAGCATTACGTCCTTTTATTCTTACATGATTCAAAGATTATACTAATTAGTTGGAATATCGTATAGAGAAGGATGTCACTTTTTGTTTATGTTGTTATCTTTATAAGTAGGATATTGGAGAGTAATTAGGTGGTGATTGTTTTATTTCAGATGGATTCACAAATTAGAAAAAGAAACAAATATTTGATATTCATGTTGGAAGTCCTAATAATGCTTATAACAAAGTTTGGAAGTGTTGTCAAGATTTGCTAAATCAAAAGCAACATGTTCAATTTGCTTTTGTAAAATAATTTGATCGAGCATGAAAAGATTATCAAGTTTGCTTAACTGAGACACTTGATTGCATTCATTTTCTTTTATGCCTAGGTTTGACATTTTGTGATAGAGATAAAACTAAGGATTCTCACAATTAAAGAAATTTTTTTTAGCTTTTTAGATTTCTTGCCAATCATAATAAAACTATCAATAGTGTTGTTTTAGAGAATGCACCAGAAAATTCAAAAGTGATATAACACATGATATTCAAAGAGATTTTATTTGTGTTGTAGTAATTGAGACTACCAATACTATCATGTAAGATCTTGAAGATTGATTATTTTCTATTTTACTTGATGAATCTCATGATGTTTCAATCAAAGAACAATTTGCTATTGCTTTGCGTTATGTGGATTTTAAAGGGCATGTTATTGAATTTTTTTAAAGTATAGTACATGTTAATGATACAACCGCTTTGTCAAATAAAACAACTATTGAAACATTATTCTTTAAGCATAATTTGAATATGTCAAGAATTCATGGGCAAGGTTATGATAGAACAAGCAACATGCAAGGTGAATTCAATGGTCTAAAAACTTTTATCATGAAAGATAATACATATGTTTATTATGTTCATTGTTTTACTCATCAATTTCAATTGACACTTATAACCATGACAAAGAATCATGTTCAAATTACATTACTTTTCAACATTGTGATAAATGCAGTGACTATTGTTAGGGTTCATTTAAACGAAGAGATATTCTTTGAGAAACACAACTTGATAAAGTTGTTGAGGCATTACGAGTCATCAGTGAACTTTTTATGGGAAGGGATTTAAATCAAGAAATAAGCCTTCAACGACCTAAGAATACATGATGGGGTTCACATTATGGGACTTTGATAAATTTGATCCTTATGTTTAGTTTCATTATTAATGTGCTTGAAATTGTTGTGGAGGATAGGAATAGCTTAGAGTAAAGACGTGAAGTTTCTGCTTTATTAGATTTGACTCAATCTTTTTTTATTTTGCTTTTAACTTGCATTTGATGAAAAATATATTGGGGAGTACAAATGAATTGTCCTTGGCATTACAAAGGCGAGATTAAGATATTGTGAATGCAATGGCATTTGCAAAAGTAATAAAGCAATGACTACAAATGATGAGAGATGATAAATGAGAATCCTTATTCGAGGTTTCTTTATTTTGTGAAAAATACAATATTTATATCCCAAATATGGATGATATGTTGTAACTCGTGGAAGACTTTGATGCAATGCTCAAACAATGACAAATTTATATTATTATTAGGTTGAGTTGTATTACACAATAATTGATACGCAACTTCAAGAGCTCAACAATAGTTTTAATGGGGTGAATATGTAGTTATTTTTTTATGTGGCTTCTTTAAATCCTTATGATTCTTTTATAGCTTTTGATGAGAAAAAGTTGATCCATCTTACTCAATTTTATCCGGCCAAAATTTCTAATGTAGAGCTGCTAGTTCTTGATGATCAACTTGAGACTTACATTGTTGATTTAGGATCTTATGATGAGTTTACAAGTTTGAAAAGTATCGGTGACCTCTCAATGAAACTTGTTGAGACAAAGAAACATTTTATGTATCCATTGGTATACTTGTGAAATTAGTTTTGATATTACTAATTTCTACTATATCAGTTGAAAGAGCTTTTTTCGCTATGAAGATTATGAAGAACCGTTTATGAGATTCTTAGATGAATGATTATTTGGTTACATATATAAAAAAATATATATATTTTGTAATATTGATAATAAAAACATTTTACAACACTTTCAAAATATGAAAACTCGAAGGGAACAATTGTAATATATTATTTTTATATACTCATAAAACAAATTTTTTATGTATTTTAGTTAACTTATATATATTCAATATTATAAAACAGTTTTTGCTCCCAGTGAATATGAATCCTGGATTTGTCTTTGGAAACCTTTGAGACGTCCATGTCACTTCCGCTGAGACTAATAGTAGAGATCCATCCCTTAGTTCCACATCAAGAAACCGTGTAACTTCCAGGATAGCTTTCATCTCAATACAAATTTTGGCATAAGCTAGTCTCTATTGGCTCGCTGTTATAATCTCCCTGTACAATGGATTCCCTGAAGCACTAAAAATATAGCTTAATCCCCTCTTTGAATAAAGCTCTAGAAGAACATTGCCCAAATGAACCCAAACAGGTAGTTTTTCCATATTAAACTTTAGAGATTTCATGCCAGGTTCCCACTTCCATACTATCAGTGACTTATTTTGTATGTCATAGTCCATACTTCAATACCCAGTCCCTAGCTTCAGCATTCGAGAACTGAATCACAAACAAATTTATTCTAGCTGGTTTTATCTCAATTAAACTGTCATTCCCCAAAGTATATTTACCATCTTCTGGAAAAGGCTGAAATTTGGAATTCTTCTGATGAACTGAGCTATCAGATTGTTCTGCCAGTATAGGATCCCTTCCTCAAATACTCATTCTTCCTTCTTCAATGGTGGAAAGTAGTCCAAAGCCTGATTGGTTGAAGCAGAGAATAAATGTCGCCAGTCCATTGCAGATTGCTTATTTACCCAATCATCAGAATTAGTTACGACTCCTTCCCCACTCCCATCTCTACTTCGATCTGGATATGTCAGGAAGGTACCATTAGGTTTTGAAATCGCGTTCATTTCCGATCGAGATCCCCCAATTTTCAACAAACCAGGGGGAGTTTTCAACAGATTCATTTCATGATCCAATCGATTCAGAATTGACAATCAATCAAGAGAAACAAAGAATTTAAGTGGAAATCAATGAAATACAATCAATATTAAATTTTGGCAAGAAATTGAGTTAAAGCAAGAAAATCCTTAGCTCAAGAAAATCTGAGAGCATTTCCTAACGTGCGCCTTCCTCTTAGATTTTTGTGATTCTTGACAGCTATTCTCAATCAATAATTATGTGATGATTTATATCATAAAAAATTGACACTATTTTAGGTTGATGTCCGAATTTTTTGTGTTAGAGCTGAATTCCAAGGGACATTTACTAATAATCAAGGCAGTTGAACGTATACTGTTAAAAAGATCTTGCGATCACCGAGTGATTAAGACCCACTCTTTATCTTATGATTCATGAGTTTGTTTGTGATTCCCTGAACTTGTTAAAAACAATAAATTGTTTTTGATTATTCATTAAAAAAAAAAAGACGATATAAATGATGCATGTACAGGAGTTTTTGGAAGGCTACTCTACGAATGTAAGATTAAGAATCATTTACAGCTTTCTCCGACTTTATCTTCTCCAGCATCTTAACAACCTCAGCTATTGTAGGTCTCTTGATGGGATCTGTTTCAAGGCACATCAATGCTATACTGAATGTATTGTTTATCTCATCCACAGGACAAGAACCTAAGCTACTGTCAACTACATATTCTTCCTTCCTTTCTTCAACAACTCCCTTTACCTGTTCAAATATTACCAGAATGATTATTACTGTGAACTGTGAATGAAGTTTATAAATCTCTAAATACATATACTATCAAGGAATTTCACATAACCGTTCAAGATAAAACTTAAAATGATGTTAATCTTTACTATGAGCTAGTAGAGGAATTTTTCATAGTTGTATTTGTTGGTTGCTGGTAACAAGTAGTAATATTTTCATGAAACTACAAAATTACCCATGTAACAAGCTTTGTTCCCTCCTCAAGAAATGCTTCATCCGTTGGTTTCCTTCCTGTTAAAAGCTCTAGCAAAACAACTCCAAAGCTGTAAACATCTCCCTTTGCTGTTGCTCTTCCAGTATCGAAATATTCTGCAGAAGAACCAACTTTAATTATCAACAGAAGAGGAGAAGAATGACTACAAATTTGGTCATCATACCTGGGGCTAAATAACCGAAGGTTCCAGCGACAAATGTTGAAACATGAGTCTTGTCTGGCTCCATCAATGTGGCAAGTCCAAAATCTGACACTTGGGCTTCCATGTTCTGGTCGAGTAATATATTGCTTGGCTTGATATCTCTGTGGATTATATGGGGGATGCAATCGTGGTGAAGGTATGCTATTCCTCTTGCAGCACCTAATGCTATTTTATATCTTGTTGGCCAATCTAAAATCTTACTGTCCATTGATTTCCCTGCATCACACTTTAATCTATCATCAAATAACCCCAGAAAACTGGAACAAAGTAAAACTTTGATTTTGTGCTTCAGGCACAACTCATATCTTTAACTTCCTGCAAAATCCTACTCTCTGGAATTATGATAGTTTCTACATTTTTACCTCTTTGCTTGGGAAAAATAAAGAAGAAGAGAAGTTATAGTCCCTCTCAACTTTGAAAAATATGGATGCTGAAAACTTGAAGATAGACCTTTCATTTGAAGAAATAATGTGCATACCATGAAGAAAAGCATGCAAACTTCCATTAGGCATTAGCTCATATATAAGAAGATTATAGTGAGGGGTGCTGTAGTATCCGTGAAGAGTTACAATGTTGCGGTGCTTAATATCGCCCATTGCCTCCAATTCTCTCTCAAATCCTTTATCTCTATCTGCTGATCCTCTGTTTAGCCTTTTCACAGCAAAGGCCTTGGTGTCATTTATCATTAATCTATAAACTGTACCATACCCTCCAGCACCAATGATGTCTTTGTTGCTTAACTTCAATATCTTCTTTAAGAACACATCAGATGTTAGAGACTGCAACACTGGAGACCTAAACATCACCATCTTCCCTCCTGCATTTATGCATATGCCAGAAAATACCAAGAAAGCATGTTTTTGCTTTACCACAAGTCAAAATATAGGAAAAACATCAATTCATTGTGTAGCAGGTTATGTACCTGAGAAACCTTCCTCATAAATCATGTTCTTTCTTTTCCATCTCTTATAAAGGAGAATCGAAAGAATGATCTTCGATATGATAAGGGCAATGCAACATATGGTGATGTAAAATGCTAAGCCCATATCATTTGCCATTTACTGCAAGCCAAGGTGAGAGTTAACCAACTTGAAAATTGTTTGGTTGAGCATCATAGAATGATAATATATTGCAGCAGAGGTCATGGATAGAAGTAACAAACACTTTTGCTTGAGATGCCAATCATTCCAGGCCAAAAGCTCTCAAACACAATAAGAAGAATCAGACAAACACCTATTTGCTACCATTGACAGATTTCTTAAAGCACACACTACTTCTGGAAGTTCTAACTTTGATTTCAAAACCACCATAGATAGCAACTAAGGTGCATTGAGAAGCAGCTGCTGGAGTCAATCACTTCCTGTGTTTTGTACAGAACTTTTCTTTCATGAGAAGGAAAGATGAAAAAAGGAGAATCATGACAAACTAGGAGTTAAAGACTAAAATTTTGGTTCAACTCTCCATTGTTATTCTTACAAGCAACATCTCCCAATTATTTGGAGCTAGCTGGCTACCAACTTTCAAACCAACTCTTACACAGTAACTTTCAATTATTGTTTCCAAAACTCTTTCTCACCCACTCTTTTCAAACATAATAAAAAATTGCTAAAAAACAGGAAATTGGAACATGGCACATAAAAATTCAATGGAGTTCGACCCTAGCAAAAAGTATAAGATCTTAAACTCTTCTAAGAAACAAAAAAGTGAAATGTGATATTACTAAAGATGGAAAATGTGAAGTATACTAACTTGCCAGCTGCTAGAAAGACACTTTGGTAAGTAAAGAAGCAGAAACCTTGGAGCTTAGAAGCTTGAAACAATCTTCTCATGGAGTACCAGTTGGACCCGGAAATTAAAGCAAAACAGACAACGAAAAAGTGAACAGGAAACAGCTAGCTCGAAGACCCAAAAAAAAAAAGGGAGAAAAAATGCTCATTTGTTGATTCAACATTTTCACACATATTAGAATTTATTAGAGAAACACGACCAAACTCACTTTTGTCAGTTTGCTTTCTTTGACATTTAAGTTTGGTGCATGTCACATCCTTCACTTCAGGTTGGAGTTGAGGCTATTTTCTCGTGAATTTTGAGGGGCCACGTCATACGCATATGTGGCGGTCGATGTCGGTATGATGACTAGTGTCTAACCATGCATGATTCATGTGTGAAGAGTGACATTTGCCAACCTTTATTTTAGACATTTTAGTGCTTGAATCCTTTCCTCCAAGGCATCCCTTTGTACAAAATTCTAACTACTTATGATAAGGTGATGGTTGAAACAAGGGTACTTAATTCTGACATTGAATTCTCAAGTTACTTTGGGAAAGAAAATGTGAAAAATATTTGGACCAATCACCGACATAGTAGCAAATATATTACTGGTTTTAGCCAAACTGCCAAGAGAAGCTAAGATCAATAAAAAGGTTGAATATGGAAGAATGATTAAGTTTATCATGTGAAATTCTATGCTGTAACCATGAATTTTCCACCACATCTCCTTTACTATTCATGTGGGATGGAAATTTCTTTTTAAGCCAATAGGACATCTATCTGTTTTGGATAAAGCAAAGTAAATGTACAGCTTTGAAGGCAAATAGTTAGGCACTTTTAGTTGAATCTTTATCCATGAAAATCTCCCTTCACACTAGTGTTCATACAAATGGTAGGTTTGGAATGAAATCTTTTATTAACAAAAACTTAAAATTAATTAGGTCAAAAATTAAATAAATTTTTGTTTAAATAATGTTAGTTTCGGAAAAAGCTGAAAAAAATTGAACCCAAAAGCTGAAATTCTAAACTGAAAATTTCAAGACAAATTGTACCAAGAAGCTTATAGATAAATTCTGTATACAAAGGAAACAAAAGTAATTTCAATCTTGCAATCCTGTGTAAACAAGCTTATCATTAATTCCATCAAGCTTGGAATCTTCAATTCCATCATTTTCCTTTCCTTGGGCTTATTATCATCAGGTATTGGTGGCAGAGATAAGAAGCAAACTCCAAATAGTCAACAACATGGCTACTACATTGATGCCATCTAGTTTTTCGTGATAAAACAGCACAGCAACCAAAGGAACGAATAGCAAAGACAGCAGACTAACACCATTGGAGAAGAGAAAAGACACCAAATAGATTAGTTCCACAATTCCTACTGTGCAAATCTGCCAAGCTAAAGCTGCTTCAACCGGATTCAGGACATGAAGCACACTCCCCTTTTTAAGTGTTTCCATCTCAGAATTTAACTTCTTCCATTCTGAACTTGAAAACAATCTGACTACACAAACAAAAGTAGAAACCAATGAAATGTAAATTTGGAGTTCAAATACAACAGCAAATGTTTCCTTCTTCAGTACTTGTTCGCAGGCAAATTGTATAAGAGAAAGCAATAAAGCATAGGCTGTTGAAGCACCACCTATGCATAAGAAACCAATGACATGTTATTTTTTTCCTCCAGAGACTTTCTCATCTTTACGTTCAGAATTGCCCGCAGAGGCTTAATGAAAAGAATTATTATTATTATATTATTATTATTATTATTATTATTATTATTATTATCTTGTTCCTTACAAAACTCAAATGAAGCATTAAGAAAAGCTTTTAAATTGCCATAACTTTAGAATGATTTATACCTTGAGCATGGGGAAGTCATGGCTGGATTGTCCAACTTGTCTTTAGAATGATGCTTGATGATTAACTAGAACTTCAGGTATGTGGGTTGTCTTCGACCACTCAGGTTCTTGATTCATATGCACTGGTATGTTAAATAGCAATGGACAATTCCAAATATATAATTTCCAAAGGGAAAGAAGCACATCTTTTTCAGGAAGAGATGTGAGGTTAATGCAATAAAATATCGACAATTCTTGAAGAGAGGTCAGGTTTTGAAAAGCCCTTGGTGGATAAGTTGCCCAGATTTTCAAATTTTGCTCTGGTTATATTAGTGAGAGAGGGAGGCAGGGTAATTCCTCCCTCCCCTAGCGGAAATGTCACCACATCCCAACATTCTTCACCATTAATATAGAGATACTTCAGAGAGGTGAGTTTATGCAAGCGAGCTACAAAGTTTAGGTACTGAGATTGAAAGTGATGTCTGCCCGTAGGAAAGCCCTCTTCTGCAAAGGACATGCGAAGCGAGCAATCACATAGTATCAATTCCATAAAAGCAGTGAGGTTCGGCATGTTGGTCAGGGCTCCCAAAATTGGACACCTACTAATCCAAATTACTGTGAGTTAGTTGGAATGCTTTGAGAATCTGTTATGATATGTATGTAGAGGTTTAAACTAAAAATTTGTGAGATGATTTTTGTGAGATAAAACCGTGATACTTTCTGGTTAAAATGAACAATATCTTGTAGGTTAGATGCAGGTATCCACAAATGATATCAATGCATCACCAATCGAACGAGAGCTAAGTATTGCATTATGGGAGCTACCTCTAGAATCTTGCAGTAGCTAAATACTACACGGTGTGAGCCACTTCTAAAATCTCAACGTCTAAGATGATCTTGTGATTTGTGTGTGCCTTGTATTGGGTTTACCCAACATTTGGTGTGATTTGGTAGATTTGTGTGCTTTGTGTTGGGCTTGATAGGGATGTCAAGCTTTAACGAGAAGAATTTGTAATGCCGCAATCCCGCATCAAGATAATCTAAGGTTCTACTATGATATATATATATATATATATATATATATAAAGATCTAAATTCAAATCTGTGAAGTGTTTTTTATAGAACAAAACGTGAGACTTTTGGGGATCAAAGTACATAATACCTTGTAGGTTGGATACAAATTTTCATAAATTATCTCGATATAGGATTGGGGCATCCCAGTTAGATTCCTTTTAGGGGTGTTCTAAATACACCACTAAATTTTTTCTATACATTTCCAAAATTTTCTTTTAAAAATAACTATATATCAAATATCAATTTTAACTTTTAATAAATGACAAAAATACCCTTAATAACTTATACACCCCAAAACCACCTCATATTTCTCGAAAATAGATTTTCGAGAGTTATATTGTATTCTTGAAAATTCACTTTCGAGAAAACAATATAATTCTCAAAAATGGATTATTGAGAATAAAATACACCTCTTCAAAATCCATTTTTGAGAATTTTTTGAATTGTTGAAAATGGATTTTCAAAAGTCATCATATATTCTCAAAATTCCATTTTTGAGAGTACGTAAAATTTTTTAAAATATATATTTAATTATAAACTTTTGATAACAAAAAAATTGGGATCTCTAATATTTGAGATACTGAAAAATGTCATCAAAAGACTGACAAATCTAACAGTAAGGATTAGCAACTGAAAGAATAGGTACTGTCGGATTTGCTAATCAATTGATGACATTGTCAACGTAAATGTTCTCATAAGGTGTTCAAGTTCGGACTACTATGCATGCACACATATGAGTCATCAATGTGCCCATTCTTACTTGATCATATATGTAAATAGAAGAGACATGTTAGTTCTCAACCATACTTGGGCATAAAAATGTTTTTGTCCTAAGCCTAGAAAACTAAAAACTCTATTTTGACCATGCAAAATCAGAAAATCGAAAATTAGTATTCTCGATTTTCTGAAAACTCAAGAAAAAGAATAAGTTTATGCCATGCATGTTGAAAACATTGATTTTAATTTCATTTGCACATATAATCAAGTAAATGAGTTCATAAATACATGATTAAGGTTTTTGATTAAAAGCAAAATCGAGCTTTTTGAAAATAGATATCCAAAAAGCCTCAAATCTTCTCAAATATTCATTTTCGAGAAGACTCAATATTTTTTGAAAATGGATATTCGAAAACCTTTGAGTTTTCTTAAAAATGAATATTTGAGAATCTTTAAAACTTCTCAAATATCTATTTTTGAGAAACTTCAAAACTTATTGAATATTCATTTTTAAGAATCTTCAAAGCTTACCGAATATTCATTTTAGAGAATCTTGATTTTGTAGTGTGAAAAAAAAAAAGAAAATAGAAAGGATAAAAATAAAAAAGGAGAAGTAAAAGGTGAGGTATATTTAATAGAAATAAAAAATTAAGTTTTAAATTTGAAATGTATTTAAAAATAAAGTGTATATAATAATAAATAAGGTAAATAGAATTCTCTTTCCTTTTCCCTCTAATGGATTAATTTATAAATGAAATTAGGCTTTCACATTTTATATCCGTCCACACTATAAATAAATTTTGTTGCTTTTGACTCTCTTAAAACTTGCCACAGCATTTTTTTTTTGCTCCCTCACTCATTTTTGCTCCATTTTCTTTTTTTTTTTTTTTTTATTTTAATATCGCTTTTTCATTTTTTCTCTATATCTTTAATAAATTTTTATATTTAAAAAAATATGCAAGACTCATTTGGGATCATTAATTACAAAATAATTTTTTCAGTTGTTCTCTATTTTTAAATTAAATAATTTTGTATAAAAGATAAACATGTCATTTGGATTTTTTTTTCTATTTTTTCAACTTTGTATAGTTTTTATGTTTTATATCCAATTTATCATTTTTTTTTTAAATTTGGGATTGGGTCAATTTTTTTTTTTTAATAATTGGGATAGGTTGAAGATATGTTTAGAGTGTTTCGTTTTGTTTCAAATATATATACAAATCTAATACATCTAATACATAAATTTTACTAATGCACAAATAGCATAGGTTTTCGCACCCTTTTTTTCTGCATTTTTTGCTTTTATCATTTTAATTTTTAATAAATATTTTAAACTATTAAAATATATAAATTTTAGTACTACACAGATAGCAAAGATTTTGCCACGTGTCAGACATTTTTTTTCTTTTACTTTTTTAATTTCTTTTTTTTTTTTAATTTTTTCTTATTTAATATTTAAGAAATATTTTAAACTTATGAAAAATATATATCTTTTTAAAAGATTTTATTTTTTATGTGTGAGATCCATTTATACGAATTTTTTTTTCTTATTTACCCTTATTTACTTTTCTTTTTAAAAAATATTTAACAAAAAAATTTTTAGA